AAATTTCACGCACACTCTTTGTTCCTTCTGGTCGGCCATCTCACTAATCGCCAAAGGGTTGAAACAGGAACGCACACAACAGAGCACCACAGACAAACCACTTAACTCAGACTGACGCCAGCTCACTAACAGTCGCAGGAGAACCCCAGCTAACACCACCTAGCAGCACAACTCGTAACTACAAAGCATGTGCGCGCAACAGGTCGGTTCCGGTTATTTTTGGGTCCCCCTTCGTAATCTAGTCTGGTCTAATCAGCGCTATTAATGTTGTCAGGGTTAAGATTACTTTCTAGCACAATTTCTGATATTCCGTGCTGAATGAATGAACTGTTGTTGCATTAGCACTAAGGCATTCCCTCTGTAGAAATTTCAGAAATGCCATATTGTTGCTTAAATCTGACCCACCACTCAAGTGTGGCACTGAACAAGCCTTCCAATCCGAATGCTTCATGGGAGGATCTGGTTCTCTATGCACATCAGAGACAGGCATGTGTTGTGCTTGTTTCTGGTTAAACCACTCAAGCAGAGCATGTAACTCTGCATGTAACAATTTTCCCCATGCTCCTTCATTGCAAAGGTCCAGCACCACCATTCAGTTTCTTGCAAAGTCCACCAAACTTAGTTTTGTTTTTATTTACACCATGAACAGTCTATACCTGATGAAATAATCATTTTCTAGCCTCACCGCTGATTCCATTTTATAGAGCTATCCAACTAACTCGGGCTTTTATGTTATCATCAGTACAACTTTCTTCCATTTTTTAAGCCATTTCACCTATGGTTCATGCACTTATCAATTCTACTTATGCAAAAACAGATACAGATGACAGTGTACTAGAACTGACAAACTCTCTGGCTGTCATGGCAAAACAAACACTTTTGAAAGAGATCAAGCACCTGCTATAATAGTATCTCATTTCCTTCCCATTGAGTCCTCTTTCTCCTCTTCCTGCCTGCTGAAACAGCTACAGACTTGTTCATCCACAGAAATGTACAAGTCAACTTCACATAGTATGTGTCACTCTCAATTAGGAATAAGATTATAAAAATATAAAGTGTACACTTATCAGGCATGTTCAGCAGAAGGATTATGTATGTTGCATGATGGAGGGTTCACTTCTCAATTTTCAATTAGAGACTTTGTTATTCTTCATGTGTGACTGGGAGACCACTTCTTGAGTTACTTCATGCAATTCTCCAATATTTAAAACTTCATAAAAATCTGTCTTGTGGTTCTCAGGTTGTTTCGTGCACGTAAGATTTGAGGCTTTCACGGCGGTGACTATGAAGAAAGCAGTCTTCTGGGATTTGGCACCGTGTATATGTGGTGTTAACCGACGTTTCGGAGGAACGTATCGCCTCCATCTTCAGGGTAGAAGAAAAAAATATATAAGAAATCTGCAAGCGAAGAGACCGTGAGAACCGGTAAAAGCAGACTGTGTGCAAATATACACAGCTATGTGAGAGCAGAGAGGGTAGGGGGAAGGGCAAGTATACAAGTGAAAGCAGTAGTGTGGGAGGTGTAGGGGGAGGGAGCTGGGACAAGCGTGGTTTTTGTGTAGGGGAGAGAAAGGCAAGGTTAAAGGCTGGGCACAACCCGTAAGCTGAGGGGGGGGGGTGTTATGTTGGTTGGTCATGTCCTGTGTGGCCTTTTGGATCTGGCATCATATCCCAGTGGGGGTTCTCTTAAAAAAGGGTTTTACAAACCAGTAAAGGGTTGATGCTGAACACATGGGTTATCCATAACCTTATCAGGGCACTCCTCGGAATGAGCGCACTTAAGGAGGGTGCAATGGTAGCGGATGGAGAATGCAGAATCTGCAGATTCCAAAAGCAGTGCCAACTCACAACTTCTTTGCACCACTCAGAGCTAATGACATGGACATGGAGACAACTGGAGCAGAGAACACAGAGAAGGAGGCTCCCAGAAAATCAGGTAGGCCACCACCAATAGTGAATGACTTCTACCACAAACCTAATTCAACTCCAAAGCAATCTAAAAGAACATGTCAAAGGAGAGTACAAATTCCTAAACACACGAAATGGAACTCGTATTATAACAAAAGAAAAGACAGACTATTCAGCCATGAAATTCTACCTGGAGAAAAATAATCTCCAGTGTTTCACCTTCTCTACAAATGCTGAAAAGCTAATCCGCTACCTTCACCAGACACACCAGCAGAAGATATTTCCAACAGCCTTGAGGGCTTAGGCTTCAACGTCATAAACGAGAGGCAACTAACGACCAACTGAAGAGCATTAAATGGACAGATCTATGTGGAAACCCTACCACTCTTCCTTGTTACCTTAACAAGAAATGTAAAATCTCAAGAGATATTCAAACTGAATACCTTTAATTATTAACCTATATACCTATACATATATATATATATATATATATATATCTAT